ATGCATGCCTCCACATCGTTGCACTCACAGACATGTTTCTCCAAAGCGTACAACGCATCAGCAGTAAGTGGTGGAGCTTGCTTCAACTCCCTTTTGCCTGAAAGCATAGTCCTGCTAACTCCGTTCACTCTGCCAGAAAAAATTTGAGCAACATCCACCCTCGCAAAGCCAATGTGATGTTCGAAAAATCCAATTGCTTTGATAAATGACTGCAGAGATGTTGCAGAGGCTCCGGACAGTTGCAAGTGCTTGGCATAGTCGTACACCACAGTCTCTGAAATGTTCATGGGATAGCAACGTCCCCCATCAACTGCCCATCGTGCAAAACGGTGATAGTCTGCAACCCTTTTAGATACTGTGCCAGGCGCCTTGCCAGCAACAGCATCAATAAAGGAAGTTGAAATTTTCGACTCTGGTACCAGCTTTCCTGAAAAATCCAGAAGTGCTCTGCCCAGTCTTGAATCCAAAGGTTGAAAAAGAACTATCTCTTTGAGTTGCCGCATTGCACAATCAACCAGCTGATCATCTGTTTTGGCAAATGCCGTTGCCAACAGTCTTTTGCGTTTGAAATCTGAGACTCCTTGCACCGGTTCCTCATGCGAGCTCACTGCACTATGCACAACGCCCTGAACAGATTCAACCCGCCCATACATAGGCAGCTGTGGTTGCCTCCAAATGCTGTCCAGTGAAAATACATTGTCAAAATCCATTCTATTCAAAAAAGAACTTGGCAGTGAAGAAGACCCAGCCACATGTTGAATCACAAGGTTGTCAATGGTTCGACTGACATCCATGTCAACTGTTTCAGCCAAGTTCCTATCAGCCCGTGCCTTGGCTGTGGGCACCATGAAGCGTCCAGTCTGGTTTTCAACGTCATCTGGTCTGACCAAACTTGCAGCGAGTGAATATTCTTCCTCAATTTGCTGCTCTGCAAATTCCTTTTCCTCGTATCCAAACAAAGGACTGAAATGTGAATCTTGTCCAAAATCATGATCATTCAAAGCATCTGGAAGTTGTACGTGTTCCCAGTCCATGTCGCTCTGGCCTCCATTGTCCCCCTGCGAAACAGGCCACTGCGCAGCACCAGCTGCATCTGGTAAATCGCCCAAACTGTGTGAATCACGCACAAGTACCATGAAAACAAAACACTTGCAAATCCAGGCAGTGTTTGTTCAAATGAAAACTGAAAGTTCTGTCAGAGAATGCACGTCCCGTAAAATCAAGATCTTCCAAAATTCTGTCAGGCATCCATGGCGATATGGAAAAATCGAACGGGTCAAGTGCAACCCACCCTCCACACCCTAGCCAAAATTGCGCGGAACATAAAATCAAAATGTTCGCAACAGAGCAAAAGGTGAGAAGACTGACATCAATCTGATCTAAATAAAAAGTGAGAAGTAAAGATCATCCTTCAAACAACAGTGACAGATGTAAATGTCACAACATGATAATAAACAGAAGCTGTTTGGAAACTTCAGTTGGTTTCCAGCATTCAGCCAGGAGCATCTGCCGCCGCACAAGTGCGGAATGGAAAAGGCGTCCAACTACGGAAGTTTCAGCAGATTTCACCGCACTTCCACACATCTTAAAATAGCTTGAACAATTTGAACATGTTTAACATCTTCAACTCTTCACAGGAGGATCAGCTATATTTGCTTGACTCTGAAAGCTGAGCTGAAAACACCGCCAGGCTCACCAACACCGTCAGTTGGTTTTCAGTTCATCAGATTTTTCTTTTTTTTTGTTACAGGCGGTACGTTCGCAAGCTCACTACTCCCAACAAACAAAGGCCACAACAAGTTGAAGCCAAACATATATATTATATTATATTATATTATATTATATTATATTATATTATATTATATTATTTATATATTATATTATATTATATTATATTATGTTATATTATATTATATTATACTATATTATATTATATTATAGTATATTATATTATATTATATATATATTACATTTTATATATATCATATGTTATACATTATATTTTATATTTTATTTATTATATATTATATATTATATATTATATATTATATATTATATATAATATACTATATATTATAATATATATATATATTATCTATATATATATATTATTTATATATATATATGATTGTGTATATATATATATATCATATATATATATATATTCCAATACCAAAAAAATAATAGCAGTGCTCTTGCTGCCCATCTTCAATTTCATCAGGTCCTATTCCTGAAATCATGCATTCCTTGCAATGAAGGCCTCATAGCCCAGTATTCCAATTCGTTCAGCGCAAGGACTTTGGCCTCACAAAGAGAACAAAATGGCAAAAGTCCATCCAGCAAGTGAAAGACTTACCAACTAAAACATTGCAGAGGGCTATGTTCGGCGTATACGCGGCCTATCAAATGTTGAAAATCAATCATTAATGCCCACACTGTGGCTTCAGCTGGATCCGTTCGCCATGTCTTTTGCCATGTCTCGAAGGGCTCTGGTTGCTCAAGCTACAGCTATCCCACCCGAGAAGGTTCACATGGGCAAAATTTAGATCGGACGTCAGCTTTCTGACCGACAAGTTGGTTAAAAATTGTGAAATGTGTTTCCAGTTGGCTTAAGGCTGCGGGGAGGAAGTCTGTACCAACAAGGCCCTTGTTCAAACACAAACGTCAGAGCTCGGAATGGTTTCATCAACAAGGCAGGCCCAACTGTGTCAGCTAAATCTCACCTCCACATCGGTCAAGAACTCGCAATACCGCATATTTTCGCCAGATTGGGTTTTCCTAAGCTCCTAAGAAAAATCCGACATGAGCCTCACGGTTGCTCTTAAGACTGCTTTTGTCCTAGAAGAGTGGCTTCTAAGGCTTCCAGAACAACGCGTAAGGCGTAAGTTTGCGCAAGAATATTTTACTCCATTCATATAATGTTGAACAAAGAGAGATCGCCTTCAAGACTGCAGGCCCAATCGAAAGCCATTATGCCCCTTCTCAGAGCTCAAAACCAAGGGCTTGTGCCCAATGCCTCTCGAGTCGTCTCGTCACTCTGGAGCGTGCGCTTGCATCGCTGCACGGCCTGAAAGGCGGAAATTTGAAGGGTACTGAGGGTAACGGTTGCAGATGGTTGCGGAATCTGCGATTTGGAAACTACATGAAACCATGCAAACCCAAGATATGATCTAGGCAGATTTGCATAGCTTGTGCTGCTCCGTATTGTCATTCGTTTTGAATGGCACAGTCAATTCCAATTAGTTTATTTTCTGACTAGTGACTAGTGCCATCTAATTTCTGAATCGGTAGATTATCTGCCAAAAGTCGTTGGGCATTGGGAGAAACAAAGTTCCAGGCCTCAGCTTCTTCGCGATTCCATCTCGTGCAAAGCTGCTCGTACCCAATCTGCCATCATGTCAGGAATCCAAGCATCTCATCCAGAAGCAAAATGCGAGCTCCAAAACTGCGGTACTTGTGATAGCTTTCTTTTATGTTCAGTCGTATATAAGTGCAACAATGCCGGGCGTGGTATTTGCTGCATTCTGTTTGAGCATCAAGGCCTGGTCTGATGACTTTCCTGGCTCTGTTGGCATGTACTGATAGGGGTTTTTCGAATCGAGGCTCCTCAAAGGGCTGATAACTTCGATGTGATGGTTTTGTCAGAGCTTGTAGCAGTAGCAAATAAATGAAACAAATGACCTCAACCCCTACACTCCAGCGATCGCACGAGTGCTGCAGCAAACTGCACTCCTTCTTAGGTGCGTAACTCGAGGCGAGCCTGAAGATCGCACAGGCATAGCAAGGCCGGAAGCAAGGCCGGAAAAGGCGCCAGCCACAATCGATGCCATGGCCTGGTCTCGTCTCCGGACAACAAAATACCTGCCAGTTGCGACCGGCTAAAGCTGGGACATCCTGGGACCTGAGGGGTCTCAGTGGTCTCAGTGGACATGACATGCAGTGCCAATATGAACTGACTGGTAATGGTGTACCAAAACAACTCTAAAACAAGCCAGGTGCTCCCATTGCAGCATGAGAAGTACAGGTATTACATAGCCAATGAAGCGGCGCCCGCTGCAATGACTGCTGCCTCCTGAGCCTGCAAGGCTTAAAATGTCATCCTGACGTGAAAACAGAACAACACTGAGGGCAACTTGATACAACTTGAAGCTGAGTGCCACTGAGCGCCATCACTGGACACCCATCGGTTCTCCAAGCCTTGGGCAAAAGATTGGATCTGAATTCACGGACAAACATTGAACTTGCTGACTTGCACTTGACGTTTCAAGGACCGGACTTCTAATCAAAAAGGCATGAGAAGGAAACACATTGGCTTCACTAGCCATTCTTCAAAAAGTCTAGTGTTCTTCGCAGGTTGTGTCACCCGGCCGCACAAATATTGATCATCCTATCTGGACGCAAAATCTGACTGCCTGTTACCGTCACTGGTCCTGGTTTCCTTGAAATTATGATTCACAATTTCTGCTGCTGTATCCCTTTCTGAACATGGAGCTGACTTCGTGATCCGAAATCTCAGCTTCTATGCATTGCGGTCAGGGGTAAATTTACAATGGTTGTCCCTATCATCTCATGGCTGAGCCGCGCAAAAAGTGGCAAGGCAAAACTTTCCGCCCAGTTCAAAGAGAAGAAAGGCATGTTTTGGACTGAGCATCTCTACAAAAGCTTGGTCAAGAATAACGAGGCAAAAGAAAGCCACTCACGCAGTAGCCCTTTTGTCCGAGGCAGAATGAGCTGAGGCATGGCATTCCAATCCATTCTGCTCTGTCCTTTTGCAACCAGTGAGACCTGCCACTCCTCCCTTTGAAACAAGACACCTTCAGGAATTCAACCACCGAAACGTTGTGGTCTCACATTGCCGTGATCACAGGAAGCCAAAACCGCGCCATGACAGGTGACCCAAGGGTACTTGAAGACTGAAGTTCCATTCCAGTTTCTTCTGAAAGATATCAAACTTTGGAGTTTTTACATATCCAGAGGGATTGTTTTGCTTTTCTTGTTGGCTAACAAACCTTGAAAGTGTCAAGCACCCTCAACGTCAACCCAACGGATGCACCAGCTTTGAACAGCGAATCGCTTCACATCGCATGGAGTCTGTCTCCAGCTCATAGGAACCTAAGCAAATGTTTGATGGTTAGTGACAATTACAACCTTTTAGTATATTTGTTTTTCCACTAAAGCAATTCCACACAGGGCAAATCGAACTTGATCAAACTTAGTTGACTAAGCTGTGCACTTCTTCTTGAGAGCTTCAATCTGGTCCCGTTTGCTCTTGGCATCCACCTTTGCCTGCATCTTCTGTGGGTTGTAATAGAGCAGCACCAAATACCTTGCAAATAGGTGCCAAATTGAAAACTGGAACTCGATTCAACTCCAACTACCTTTTTATTACTCCAATGAGGGATTATAGCACCTGCCGAAATGTAATTGTTTGCAAGTTCCCAAAAAATGTTTTTTTTCTGATACTGATGTTTAATGAAAACTTGGCATTTTCAAACTGTGGTAGGACATTTCATCCTGCCAAAGACCCACAAGAAAGTCATCTGAGAAAAAGACCGACCAGCCACGTTGAAACCACTCAAGTGATCCATAGCATTTTTGGCCTTGTTCAAAGATCTGCACAAGGCTTTTGTAGCAAATCCACTAAAAGCAACCCGAAAACTGAAAGATCAAATCAAACATCCATATCTGCGGCCCAAGACATCATAGATGTCGTCGTACACCACGAAGCAGGTTCCTCTGGTCTCTGGACCTGGCAACGGTGCGACACAATTGTGAAACAATGGTCACAGTGTATAGATCGGAGATTTCCTGAGGTTTGCACCATTACCACGGCGGATTTGGCGAAGTGAACCGTACTTTCCAAAGATATCATACAGTTCATCCGCACCTAAGTCAATTTCAAATCAAATTCAATAGCAAGGTTTTAGTTTTAGTGAGTTTGATGGACTGCAGAATTGCAAAAATTTGAATGAAGGTTTGTTGCTGCCAATCAAATTATTGCAATGGGTAGTTTGGTTCCTGGCTAATTTTGTAGGGCAAGTTGCGGACGTACAAGATGCCTTGGTAAAAAATGCAATGAATGAAAAAAAATGCGGCTAAAAAATACAAACATACATCATACATACATATATTACGTAACATAACATAACATAACATTAAATTACATTACATTGCATTGCAGTGCATTGCATTACATTACATTACATACATTACATACATTACATACATTACATACATTACATACATTACATACATTACATACATTACATACATTACATACATTACATATTTATATATATATATATAAAATTTGCTGAGAAGCGGTTCACTTCCGGTGCCAGCCTCACGTTTCGCCTATGGCCGCCAAATTCACAAAGCAAATGGTGTCCAAATTTCACGAAAAAATACGAGGGAATCTTCCTTTAAATCATGGAACTATGGAATACTATGGCACTATATTTTGATTGTTTTGATTTGTCTCCAGACATTTCTCTGTCGTATCCAGCCTTCCATAGGCTTGATTGCCTTCTCCTCCACCGCCGCCAGGACCACCAGGACCACCAGGACCACCAGGACCACCCGGGGTCATGCCCATGCCCGGTGTGGGCCCTACAATGCGCGGGCATCAAATGCAAAAATGGTGTTCAATGTTTTCAAATCTGATGTGCAAATTATTTGGTATGGTGTCACAGGAAACCCACTGCAAAACATGCAAACCGTTGCAACACGTAGTTTATTTGCTGACAATTCCGCCAAAAATTGCATAGAATCGCACACCAATATGTCGAACCTATGCCACCGCCGAGTCCAAAATCCATGGCTGGCAAATCCGCTGTTTCAATTCAGGAACCACACAACAAGAACAGACGGAAACAAAATAAAGGGGATTGTTCCCATGTTTTTACCATATTGAGCGGAGTGCCCAAATTCGGATGAACATGTTCCCATCAATATTGCCACAATTTTTGAACCTAGAATGCAAGACCGAAACGAAGGTGACAAGGGTCAAGGCTGTATGTGTGCGAAAAAAAATATATATAAATGATGTCAGGCGGGGCAAACACATGAAGTCAAGATTTCCCCAAACATTGCATCCTTGTCATGCATCAAACCGGAATTTTCATATTCGCAATTTGCAATGCACCATGATGGCGCACGGCGCAGGCCCCACGTCTTCAAGAGACCCCGAACATTGTTGTAAGGAACATGAAGAAGGGGTACCAAGTTAGACTTGAGAAGAGGAACACGAAAGGTTGGTGATCAAGAAGGGGAAATAAGGCCTCTCTGTGCAAAAGCCGTTTATGTATAAAAACGTACTGTGTGCACAAGTTTGTGTGTGTCAATTGTTTTTCTGTGTAAAAGCATGTGTGTGCAAAAGCGTCTGTGTGTAAAAAGGGTCTGGAATTGTTTTGTTTTTTTTGTTTTTTTTCCGTTTTGGGATTTTTTGGATCTGCGGTTGTGTCCGTTTTCCCTGCAATTTGGAGCATTTTGGAGCTGGAAGCTGCCATTTCAACGGTATTGCAACATTTTGGAGTTCGAACCTCTCATTTTCCATATTATTTGCAACATGTTGGGGCTTTAATTTTCATGTTGGATTGTATTTTGCGACTAGGGTCCGCTTAAAGTTTGTTTAGGTTTGTTTTAGTGTTTTTTTTGGATTGGTTTAGGATTGGTTTTGTTTTCTTTAATGGTTAGTTTTGTTTTTTTTAATGGATGATTTTGTTTTTAAGGGGTAATTTTAGGGTTGGTTTAGGGTTTCTTTTGGCGTGGTCTAAGATTTTTGTACGATCTGTTCAAAGCAGGGTTGAACTCTATGATGCTGTCATAGTCATAGTTGACTTAAACCCATGTATCTATGCCTGCTGTCTTAGGACCAAAGAATACACAATGCAGAGTAACCACATCAAACTTAATCCGTTGCTGATGAGTCGCAGCCGTATCTCGTTGGTGGCCGATCTTTGTTTCATGAGTGTATGAACATGTCATATTTGCCTTCATTTATAGCTTAATAGCGTCATTTTCTCAAGCCGAAATTCTGTGAACATCATTTTAATTATATAGCGTTGCTGTGTCCCGTTCTTCGCTTCATTGTCAATCTAATTCTCTGCGCGGCAACAGTGGGCAAATTTGTGGCCTCTCCGACTCTCCCACGTTCCAGTTCCTCCGGAACCTTTGAGCACATTGTAGAAAATCATCTCTTAGCACCCTGAGAGTCTACACACTGGTTGAGAGCAACCATGGACATAAGCGCGCCTGAAAAATACTTTGGATCGCGCAATCCCTGCGGTGACATTTAAACATCTCAAAGTGTTATATGAAACTCGATACTACTCGCTCTTCCGCAGCTTTCCTTTTTCACAGCAATGCCAATGTCAATCACATTCACCTGCAATCCTCAGGTTTGCTTTGGGTCGTCACGTTGTGACATGTACATAGCCTCAGACCAGTGTCACCACTGGTCAGCTGCCTGGTGATCCAGGCTGGAACCTGCTCAGCAGGTATCACCCAACCCTTAACCTAAGGGAAGGTAAAACTCTCTTGGTCACCCCAAGAGAGAGTCCCCAGAAGAGGCTATGGACTCGCCTGCCATGCAGGCTCCCCTAACCTAGGCGGACATCTCCACGGGAGGTCGGCTCTTAGGGTTGGGAGGGTGGGGAAAGAAACAGCAATGAATGCTATTTTGGTTCAAGTTTACTTGAGCCAAAATGATAACATTCATTGAACACTTAAAGATGATACATGCACACCCAAGCCTGCCAAACTCGATGCATGGGTACATCTCAAAGTGTTATATGAAACTCGATACTACTCGCTCTTCCGCAGCTTTCCTTTTTCACAGCAATGCCAATGTCAATCACATTTCACCTGCAATCCTCAGGTTTGCTTTGGGTCGTCACGTTGTGACATGTACATAGCCTCAGACCAGTGTCACCACTGGTCAGCTGCCTGGTGATCCAGGCTGGAACCTGCTCAGCAGGTATCACCCAATGCACTCAAAACCCCAAAGCACTATAGGAATTCGAAGGTGAGAATGACAGCGACGAAAGGCAGCTGGAAAAAGATAGTGGGAAGGTACGACGAATAAAAGTCAAAGCCATGGCATCGCCACCATGGGTCCTCAGCGCCGAGGCGGCTGATGTCATCAGCCCAGTTGCTCTTGCTCTGGACGTACTCCCAGTAACCCTGGGCTCGCAGTGCAAACAGAGCTAGATGGATCAAATGACCTAGCTTGGCTAAGTCGGCATTGCTAGAACGTCCTCTCACGAGCGTCATGACGGCTGCAACATTGTCCAGAAACCAAAGCCCGTGTCGATTTCGAAACAGGTCAGGTCGTTCCACTAAGGCGTACAGCACCATCGAGAGCTCCAACTGGGCGATGTGTGTTTCTGCAGGCTGCCATAATTTCTGAAGCTCTGCACAATTGTTGGCTACAAAACTGTGACGTATCTGGGATCCGTCAGGCTGGAAAAAGATGAGGTGAAAACCTCCTGAGCCTGGATTGTCAGCTTCCACCGCAGCATCTGAAGCAGCAAGGAAGCGCAGGTTGTCCAGGTGAAAGACGGGAAATTCCCGTTTTGGCTGAAAGCGCATCACTGCTTCGATCACCTCGAAGCATGCTTCAATCTCAGGGGTTACCGATGTAGTGGCTTCATCCTGTCTGGCTTTGATTGCCATCAGGCCACCATACCCTACACGGCCTTATTTAGTCCTAGGAAAACCGTGGGCACTATTTGTATATAAGACACCAGAGTACATACATGTCATATATGTATATGCTCCTGCGGTGTCCGTTACGCTTTGTCCTAAACGCTTGTTGTCCAACCATGCTGCCGCCAACCCCTTAGGGGTTTATGCGCTTTCGGAAATTAAAACTTCTGCAAATCTTCCAAAAAACCTTCCACTTCTTTCATCACATCCGAAAAATCAAAAAACATGCTGCAACTGTCAATGATCACACTCGCACAGTAGCGCCATGTCTTTTTTCCAACTGGCGCATTGGGGATCGAGTTCTTGGTCAAGCTGCCGTCCTAT